ACGCGTGCCGCCGGCCGAGCCAGGTGTAGGTGGTGGGTCGGGTCTAACATTAATTTTTTGTCAAATATTTTATGGAAATTTCTCAAAGATATGATTTTAATTACTAAAATCTGGTATGATTTTTGGTTTGTGAATTCTTGAAACTTGAGAAAATATCTAGTATATGTTATATACTTGGTTTTTTTTAATGTAATTTGATGTCATTTATATGTGCATATTAATTTGTAGTAATTCTAATTAATTTGCAATGAGTCTTACGGTGTCATATTGTCACGACCCAAACCCGCCCTTATGGGTTTAGCATCGCAACCGGCCAGTAATCCGTGATTACCGAAGGCTGGCTTAACAGTAACGACAGAAATACAGAGTAAAGGGGCTGGTGGAAGCCAAAACAGTAAATAAAAGATGTCCAATGAGCTATAACAGTCTGAATGCAAAAAGACTTTTTATAAACATGCCACATTGACAACCAAAACATAAATATATGCAACAAATACACAAACATCCATGTCAGGGATCAAATCCCTAACTATAACTGTACAGTCAAGTCTATAACATTTGTTACAAAACGGAGACAGAAGGGTGGAATTGAGACACCCCAGAGCAGCCCTAGCTTGAACAGACATGGAACCTCAAAGTGTGGCACAAAGGTTGGCTTGACAAAACGGGAGCTTAACCTGACGCTCCTAGCTCCGGTCTGGTGCTTGAACACCTACATATAAATATAAACAGTGAGCTAAAGCCCAGTGAATAACAGCTGTGTAAAGAGGTTAAGAATGAATGTCCTTTCAGTAATTAAACAGTCATATCGGTCTTAGAAACCAAGGCAGTCATATGTGGTACATCCAATAACAAAACAGTACAGTAGGTCTTAACAGACCGAACAGTCAGTTGATGGCCATCATAACGATAAACAGTAGTAGTTCCAATATGAGAACTGACAGAGATCTCTGTAACAGTAGCAGTAACAGTAACAGTAACAGTAACAGTAGGTTGCTATGGATGCCACGAGTACAGTTTACAAATAGGACAAACATTCATTCATTGAACAATAGCATTTCAGCAAACAGTACGGTTGATCATTCAGAAAATAATCATAATTGAACATATCTTTCCAACATTATTACTCACAGAGTACTGGGCTATAGATAGGCTAATGAGCGTCCTCAGATGCCAACCATACACAGTTACAAAACGAACACACACTAAGTTATGCACTAGGGAATCAATAACTTAGCCCCTTATCTAGACTTGGTGTGTTTCTATAACATTATCCTCATTAAGATGCCTTAAACTAGGCCTAGGAATGCCTAAGATAAAATGAGGACGCAAAAATGTACTTTAAAACACTTTTTAAAATTTGCTGAAACAGGAGTCTACGCTCGAGCGTGGCTTTCTACGCTCGAGCGGACATGCAGACAATGAAGCTCCGCTCGAGCGTGGCTTTCCCCGCTCGAGCGGACTGCAAACTCATGAAAAGTACTGAATGCACGATTTTCACACTCGACGGATGCTCGACCTTCGCTCGAGCGTGAGACTCAGATCTTCGCTCGAGCATGAATTCTATTACTCGAGCGGACTGCAAAACATATGAACTTCTGGGCATATGCATTTCACATTCGAGCGTGACTTTCTACGCTCGAGCGGAAGTGCATGTACTCTGAGTGTACGCTCGAGCATGAAGTCCTCCGCTCGAGCGTGGATCCAAAATCAGGAATTTCCAGATTGATCCTCAAGCACGAAATTCAACTCCTAAAGCTTCAAACTCGATTCTTTTGGGCTAATTTCATGGAAAACACTTGAAGACTCATAGTAAAACATGTTTCAAAGATCAATTTATGAAATCAAGCCCACAAGTAAGCCAATTGAACATAATTTCAAAGAACTTCAAGAATGATGCAAGAGTTTAACATGCATGAGTTCACATGAATTCCAATACTCTAAAACATGACTAAATGTAAGATTGAGCTCAAAATCATGGTGAAGTCATGGATTATAAAAAAAAACATGAACATGCATGTAGAAATTTTCATAGAAAATACCTCAAAACTCGATGACATGAACATGCATGCAACCATTGCTACTCAATACAACACTTTGAGCCAATTCTAGACTCTAATCACCAATTTTACCATGGACCATGCAAGTAACAACTTAAATTTGTAACCCAAATGATGAGTATCCTACCTAGGTCTTAAATTTCAAGGTATGGAAGCCCAATTTTGCAAGTCCTCTTCAATTTCTCCTAATTCTCCAAGTCAAATTCTTGTTGAACTCAAATCTTCTCTTACCCTCTTCTCTCTCACGGTTTGGGTCTCCAAGTGGATGAAGAAATGGTGTGACAAAAATGAATTAAGCTCCAAACATGTATCAACAAAGTGGCCCACTAGTATGGCAAAAGTGTAATTAACTTTGATTCAATAATTTAACATTATTTAATCTAATTTAATCGCTCCAAATCAAATTTCAATTAAACCTACCATAAAATCACATAAATTCTAATTAGCATAAAACACTAATCAATTTGTGGTTCGGTCGCTGATAAGACCTTCAATTCGCAGTTCAAAGTTAAAATATGAACAGATTCATTCAAAAATCAAACAGATAGAAATGCATTCGAAACAATACACTCATACAATCAGTTCAGAATTTCGTTCTTATCAGTTACTTATCATGCTCAGTCACAGTTTAACATTAATCAGAGGTGAGTGTTGTCACACATATGTTGCCATGAAATCAGTGGAACTTAGGATAACTTGCTTGGGAACATGTGTTATATACAGGGAACTTAGAATAAGCTATACTTTTAATGATCACTTATATCTTGAAAACCCTAGAGGGGTATCTTTTAAGTGGAGTATTAAAGAGACTCGAAATAAGGATCACTTATATGAGTGTGAAGGGGCCCATTCTATGAAAATTGATAAGGCTAAATTTTCTAAAGTACTCATAAAACACCAGGACTTGCCCAATGCCAAAACGGGCACAACCGTGAGAACTAAACTGTGTCTAGAAATATTATGTGTGAATTCTATTGTCTTGGCTTACACAAACGGCTGAACAGTTCAAGGCATCACGTCCACTGATTAGCTAGTAAGTCCGATAGACTTTCACTAGGGAAGATTCAAAGCTAAAAGCTACCTATCCCGATGCAGGATATTTCCATAATGTACTCTCTCTTTGTCTGCATGTTGTTGCATGTCCTTTCCGTAAATTTCATTCATGTGGGGGATTGTTGGAAAATTTGAATTTAAATTTACTCCAATGGTTCTGTCTCTTGAGATGAAAGTGTGTGTCCTTTTGAAGGATCACAACCTTTCTGAGGAGTCACATAGAAGTCTTTATATTCCATCTCCCTCACTTCTTTTTGGATGGGGAATTGCCATTCTTCTTCACTTTGTATTTATTCTTCATATTTCACGAGTCTAATTTTTCTATAATGAGAGTACATGCACAGCAAAGTTCGTTAGGCTTGCAATAGTAATGCTGCTAGTGCAAGATATTGATCGTTGTATCCTGAGAGATAGACGTTCATTGGATCTTAAGCACCGATGGGAGGACTAATCTTCAGTTCTCGCAGGAGTTGAAAGCCGAGGCGGTGGCAAAAGCGAAGCAATTCATTTATTTATGTACTGTAAGTTTTATCACATTATTATGTTGATATATTTCTAGTTTTGGTTTTGCCCAAAAAATCGTTTACATATTTTTAAATTATATTTTCCCGATAGTTTGGTACTATTTTTCTAACAATATCCACACAATTTTCTCCTCTAAATGGGTTTCTGATAGTCAGAATCAGTTTCTTACTAGTCAAAAACTCATTCAAAAGGATTCGGAAGAAAAACTTATGTGGTTGAATCATTTTTACATTTAAAAGCTGAATGACTTAAATTATCAAAAAATAGTATTGATACATGTACACAATTTTCTTTTTCACAATCCTCACAAATGAGGTGTTAAAGACATAATGCAAGTTTTATACTAATGGGAGTATAGGTCAAGTTGTATACTAATTGAAGTGTGAGTCAACTTATAAAATTTTGTTTGTCGACTCATTTGCAGGGATTGTAAAAAAGAAAATTGTGTGGATAAAATATTATTTACTTTGTTTGGTTTTAGTTTTCAGAATTTACTTTTCAGAAAATTCTATTTTTTTGTTTTTCGTATTTTTTTTTATTTTCACTAATTTTTTAATATTTTAAGTAATTTTTTAAATTTTTTTACACACCTAATATAAATACACTTAAAAAGTATAATATTTATGAAAAAAACTTTAAAAATTCACTACATAGCAAAAATATAAAAATTCAAAATATTTTTTTTATATTTTTGTGTAATATTAAACTTTAAAATAATATAACTTTTGATATAAATGTCGGTTTTTAATAAAATTAATCACTCTGTTTGGTTTCAATTTTCAAAAAATTCTTTATTTTTTTTGTATTTTTTTTATTTTCACTAATTTTTTTAATATTTTAAGTAATTTTTTTAATTTTTTGACACACCTAATATAAATACACTTAAAAAGTATAATATTTATGAAAAAAACTTTAAAAATTCACTACATAGCAAAAATATAAAAATTCAATATATATTTTTTTTATATTTTTGTGTATTTATTAATTTTTAAAAATATTTTTTTTACAAATATTTTACTATTTAGATCTAAGTAAGATATATTTAAAAAAAAAATTTATTTAAAAATTTTAAAATATTCACTAAAAATAAAAAATAAAAAATTTTAATTTTAAAAAAATTAAATTCAAAACACTAAAACCAAACACACTATTGTTATAAAAAAAAATAAGCGTGAGTCCATAAAGGTGCAGTCCACGCAATCTACCGTGTGTAAACGATTTCATTTTCTTCCCAACATACATAAAAATTCAACAATTTCCATTTTTCTCTCTCTCATTTTCCCCCTTTCTTTTCATTGTCGTTACTTCCAATTTCCACACACACACACACACACACATATATATATATATATATCTCTTTTCGGATTCATTTCACAACACAGCTCCCACCACCAGTCCCTCTCCTCACCAGTGACACCACTACACACGCTTAACCGGAATCATCCACCGATACATACCTACATACACATATATACACGAAAAACATCACTCCTTTTTTTAGGTGGCCTGTTTAGCCATCTCTCTCTCTCTCTCTCTCTCTGTACGAATTCATTTTCATGTATACATTATTTGGTCATAACTAGAGAGCATCACTAACGTAACAAGTTTCTGGTCTTCTTTGGTTTGGTCCCCTCACTCTCTCTCTCTCTTACTGACTCCCTTCCCTACATCGAACTTGTCTCTTTCTACCTTTTCTCCCTCCAGATTCTTTTTCTCTTTATATGATCAACGAACGAACCCCGTATATGTCTTTTCTCAGAGATTCCAGACGCATACCAGAGACCACTCATTCATACTCTCATTAGACATTAGCGGAGATTGGAGAACAAACATCGCTTAGTTTAGTTACTTATACTGATCATACACATATATAATTTTTTTTTTTAATAATAAATAGATGAAAGGCTTTATAAGGCACGAACGACGGTGGGCGTCGGACACCGTTCCAGGTAACACATTGAGCGCGGGGTCGACGCCAGGAACTAACTCCGGATCATCGCCGGCAGCGGAGGAGTTCGTTGAAGTAACGCTCGATCTCCAAGCCGATGACACGATCGTGCTTCGTAGTGTCGAGCCAGCGACGGTTCTCAATATCGACCGCGACATCACCGTTGTCGGAGGAACGGACACTCCGGTATCGCCGTCGTTCTCGGTGTCGGCCTCCGCCTCCGCCTCCGCCTCTGCCTCGAGGTCGCCGACGATGCGGCGGAGTGTGTCGATTAATCGTCTATTTCAGTTCTCGCAGGAGTTGAAAGCCGAGGCGGTGGCAAAAGCGAAGCAATTCTCTCAGGATTTGAAGGCAGAGTTGAGGCGGTTCTCGCGGAGTCACGGTCACGCCTCTCGAGTCCTCTCTTCTTCACCTTCTTCGGCGCTTCACAGCATCGTCGTCGGACACAGTGGTGGTTTGGAATCTGCTTTGGCCGCTCGAGCTCTCCGTCAACAACGAGCTCGGCTCGATCGGACTCGTTCAGGTGCTCAAAAAGCTCTTCAAGGACTCAGATTCATCAGCAGTAGAAAAACTAACGGCGTCGATGGCTGGAACGAAGTTGAAAACAGCTTCTACAAGCTTGCCAAGGACGGCTATCTCTATCGTTCCGATTTTGCGCAATGCATAGGTCTCACAATTCACATGAATTTCTTAGCCTTGTATTGGCAAGGGGGAAGTCACGTTTTGGCTGTTAACCATTTTTATCACATCATTTTTTTATATTTTTTTTTAAAAAATCAAAAGAAATTTAAAAATAAACTTTTAACCAATTTCTCAAAAATAACTTTTTAATTTTTACCAGTAAATTTCAATGCAGGTGTGTTTAAAAATTTTAATTATCTGATCGATTATATATTGTTATGTTCGATTTAGGAATGACAGATTCGAAGGAATTTGCACTGGAATTGTTCGATGCATTGAGCAGGCGACGGAGGTTGAAGGTTGATAAGATCAGCAGAGACGAGCTTTATGAGTACTGGTCTCAAATCACTGATCAAAGCTTCGATTCTCGCCTCCAGATCTTCTTCGATATGTATGCATCCATTCATAATAACATAAGTTGAAAAAACAAAAATTTGGAAAAATTATTAAAAAAAATTCTGAGAATTTGTGCCTTTTTAACAAAATAAATGTTTTAATTTTATCAATTTAAATTCTAAATTTTTAATTTGTTTTCAATTCAAATAATGAAAAATGATATATAAGCTTAGTTGTAGATCCATTTTCTAAACCCAAATTAATATAATTGGTTGATGATTGAGAGAGGCTGTTATCTTAGATATTTTAATTGATTTCTATATCATTAGACTTGGAAAGTGGGTCTTTAATAATTAAAGTAATGTTAAGAGCTCCAAATATTTTATCAATATTTTACCAAATGTCTTGTAGGATCAACATGGAACTCACACCATGTGGAATATTTAGTAAAAATATTAGTAAAACATTTGAGATGCCTAACATTTTCCTAATAATGCTCTTAAATCATTTGTCTATTTTTATTAAATAAAATTGATAAAAAATAATAATATTTTAATCATTATGATGTAAGTTTATGAAAAATGTTTAAAATATAATTTTTTTTTATTAATGACTAAAATATCATTTTTCCATTAGTTTTACTTAAGAAAAATAAATAAATAATTTATTTGAAAATAAATTAAAATATTAAGATTTAAATTGGCAAAATTAAAAAATTTCAATTTATCTTGTTACAGGGCTGAATTATTTACTTTTTTTAATTTTCTAAATGTTTTTGAAGATAAACCTTACTTCATTAAGCAAAGTAATCAATAATTTTTAATTAGGCGTTGAAGATTAGCAAAAGCTGTACAGAAAATGGCGGATTTTACATTGTAGTACATACCTAACAAACACAATATAATGATTGAAGCAAGAACAAAATTGACTTTTTCAAGCGTTAATTATCGTATTATTTGATGTTTAATGCAGGGTGGACAAGAATGAGGATGGCAGGATCAATGAAGAGGAAGTCAAAGAGGTACTCCATTGTAGTAATTTATTTCAAATTATTTTTCTGTTTAAATCCGAATAACATTAGGGATTGTTTGGCATTGGCTCATATAGTTTATTTTTTTAGCCTGAGACTTTTTTAGCCTTCTTTAATTTTTGTTTTGAGAATTTTTTTTAATTTTGTGAGAGAAAAAAATAGATAAAAAATGATATTTTGTCTTGTTGACTTATACACCTTATATTGTCTTTTTGCACTTTTTTAATCTCAAAATGTTAGCCAAACGAGCACTTAGATTAACCAGTTTCATTAATTTGATAAACTAATAAACATTAATGCAGTAGCTAGTGAATACGACAGTCTGTCGAACGGTCCAAAAGTCATTAGTGTTAATGCTAAAAATATATAAGTATATGAAAATATAAAAAAAATATAAAATACTAGAGCAATATATATGTTTTTAAAAAGTAAGAGGCTATTACTTATATTTACTAGAAGTACACAAAATATATTCAGGTTATACAACAAGGTAGATAGACGCTAATTTTATATATTTTTACAAATATATGAAATTAACAATTGCCTAATAGGCGGTGGTGGTTAATATTTTCTTTGAAAAATGCTACACCAGTAGAATTTATAGAGAAGGAACTTTTTTTAAAATGATATGATACTTTCATATTTCATGTATAAGAAAGTGCATATAGTGGTTATAGGATATGGGTAAAATAGTTTTATTTGACTAAAATAAGCGGTGGTAGGCGTGATTGGGTGACCCTCAATCAGAAAAATTCCAAAACCAACAACTCCAATATATAAAAAATTGCGTTCCAAATCCCAGTTTTCATAGTATCTGACGTTTCCTATGTTCTTAATTTTATTTTATTTTTTTAAATGTGGGCATTTAATAGCTTCTTATCTACTACCCAAATAGAAAAATGGATGTTCGAACGAACTACTGAAATTCATGAATTTGACTTATGTCATCTCGAATTCTCCTTTTCACTGGAGTTGGTTTGGTAGGAGATTTCTAGTCAATTGCCAGTGCTTTATTTATTTTTATAGTTTTTATTTTATATATTGTAATTTTAACTTTTTTAATTCTCATTTTCCTTTGTAGATCATAATGCTGAGTGCATCTGCAAATAAGTTATCAAGGTTAAAAGAACAAGCAGAGGAATATGCAGCTCTAATTATGGAAGAGTTAGACCCTGAAAGGCTTGGCTACATTGAGGTGTGGCTATCTTTCTATCACTTTTTTCTTTTTTCTACAATTTTTTTAAATTTTATAATTTATTGAAAAAAATACATCTTAATTTTTATGGATGTGTAAATGAGTTTATGTTTTTCAGAACAAGTTTTTTAGTTTAAATGTCAAAAATTTATTACAAATTGCCTTATCATTTCTAATTTCAATGTATTCACATTAGTTCATTCAAATTCTGCATCAAATCAGGTTATTGAGTTAGACTTTTTTTTTTCAAAGTCAATTGCCATACGACAAAGCTCTCGTTTCATATGTGAAATTTTAGGGTTAAAAAGTTAAAATAATCATACAAAATAAATAGATTAAAAAGTTAATAAGATAAAATATTATATTTAAATTATATTTATTTTATTTTTTTCACAAAAATTAAAAAAGATAAAAAAAAAAACTCATCACAAATGAAACTTTTTAACTTTAGATTAAAATAATTAAAAAATCAAAAAGCCAACTTACAAATATTTATATTTCTCATAAGCCTTGGTTTGGAATGTGGATTGACTTTTTGACTATTTTAACTTGGGGGTTAAAAACCTTTGTTTGGGATGAATTTTTTTAGTTTTTTTGATTTTTGTGAGAAAAAAAATGAAAAGATTATGATTTGAATGTGACATTTTATCTTATTAGGTTAAAAAACCTATTTTATCTTTTTGTGACTAAAATAATACTCAACCCAAACCTTTATGCAAAACGATATGCCTAAATGGGTTTGCCATATTGTTCGACCATACATATACATGAAGAGGAAGAAGAAGTTGCACTATTATCTATACTATATATTAAATAAAATGGGGGTTTTTAACCCCAAGCATTGTGGGAGTTCTAATTTCTCAATCTAAATTTCTTAATTTTTTAATTTAAAAAAAAAATCTTAGCATTTACTAATTTCTCTCAACTCCCAAGTCTTACCCTTATAATAACACTTTAATGCATTAAGAACAAGCATAAAAAAAATTCTTTGAAATCCAGCACATATAAATTTCTTGAAAAGTCATATAATTATTATCCTTCATAATAACACTTTAATGCATTAAGAACAAGCATAAAAAAAATTTCTTGAAAAATTCAACACATATGATTATTATCAAAATATTAAACTTTAATATAATATAATAAAAAAAAGACATCTAATTACTTAAAAAGTTCAACACATATGATTATTATTACAATATTAAACTTTAATATAATATAAAAAAGAAAAAAAAAGAAGACATTTAAAAAAAAAAAACACATTTAAAAATCACAATTCACTTATATAGATAATTATAAATGCAATCCGTACATAACACAGGTAATATGCTCGTATATTATAATTATAATGTCTGTGAATTGAAATTCCCATCCCAGCTTATTTCTGGGCTGAGTGACACGAGAGTATTATTAGTGGTTGAACCACTTTTCCCAAAAAAAAAAAAAAAAAAAATTGTTCTTGGTTTCTTCCTGGTTTACTTTCCTTCCACTTTCTAGCAATTTATTACCTTCATATTTGTTAAGAGGGACATTGACAGAAAATTAAAAGGGAAAAAGAAAAAGAAAAGATGCAAATTACTGATATTTCTACACATATTTATAAATTCATGGAAATTTTTTTAATTTTAATTATTAAAATTGATAAACTTTTTCACTCATTTATAATTTTTTTTTTTTAATAAAACTTGCACTAAAGTGCAATTTTTCTAAACAGAAAAAGAAGGCATGAATTTAACTGGGTAGATCCAATAAATTTAGAGTAATGATACATGTATTAAAACTCTTAATAAAAGCATGTGTGCAACATCATAAAAATGTTTAAGTATCATTCTTTTTTTTTCTTTTTCTTTTTTTTTATAATTTCTTTTATAGCTAATTATATTTGACCTATTATATTTTTAGTAAAATTTTAAATAAGAGTGTTAGTATTATAGAATTATTCATATGTTAATTCATAAATTTATTGAACTTGCTTATAAGCATTTAGTACTCAATTATATATGAAAATTAATATTTCGTCACCCGATAAATTACACCTCTGGACTCACGTAACAAACACTTAGGCTTGACTATTGTATTTTGGATATGTTGGTTCTTATATATTTATATGACAAATGTTAAAGAGTGTCTCTTGAGCATTGTTTAATATTGAGATCAACTTAAAAAGTATCTTGACAACAAGTAAAAGTATTATGAAATGTATTCATTTCAATAAAAAAATATATTGAATTTAGTAAAAAGTATCTCCTGTTTTTCAATTCTTTTAGATTTTTTTTTTTTTTTTTTTTTTTTTTTTTTTTTTTTTTTTTTTTTTGTATCCTAGAAAATTTGTTAGCAAGGCTATATATACGTGATATTTATTGTGTGAATTTATATGAAGGATTAAAAAAAAAATAGTGAAATCCAGATTGTGATATATGAATATGACATGCCTCATTATATATTCGCCTACCTAATTGTTGTTACCTGCTAACCAAGAAAACTCGGACAATGACAAAAAAAAAACGGGGTGGATGGTTCTTAGCCTCTTGCATTTAAGCAGAAATTTGGGTTAACTTTTATTTTAATCAGGAAATTAAAGCTACAATGCAAATCACCATTAAGTTGTAAAATTATTGTTAGGATAATATATTTATTTATTCAGGAAATGAAAGATATTCCTGACCTATAGTGACCCCATCATTTCATCATTTGAACAAATATAACTAGTTATATCCGGAATAAAAACTAAGAACTCCTCAGAAAGTAAATCAGAAAAGTCACTAGAAAATATGTGTGGTGTTGATTTAAGCTCGAGTATTAATGATGTAGCAAAATTATAGATCCATCACTTTAAGGAGAAGAAAAGGAGCCTAAATCGACCCCTTCTTTTTTTGTTTTGTTTTGTTTTGATTTTTTTTTTCTTTCCTAATGAAAAAAAGCAGCACAAATAGGCATACTTAATCGCCAATCATCCTGAACCATAAGAAAGAAGGATTCAAAAATGGATCATGAGGCAAAACTCTCCAAAACTTGACTTTGACTTATAATAAATGATATTCCAAATGAGTGGCTTTTCTTTAGATAATAGCCCTTATACTTCGGCTACTAACAAAGAAGCTACAGGTTTGATAGACCGAGACTAGGGGCTTTTTTTAGCTGCGTGTAGAAAACGGTGAGTAGAAAAAACTCTATTAAGAACCAATTAGGCTTAACTTAATTAACTATCATAATTCTTTTAATGGCTGAGGTCTCGTTTGGCAAATGATGATTTTAGTTAAAAAATCAAAAAATCATTAAAAAATCAAAAAACTAACAATCTATACCAAAAAATTAAAGATTATTTTTTCTCTCTAATTTTTACACATCTTTTCGTAAAAAATTAAAAAGTCATCCCAAACATACTAATTTTTTATATATCATATTTTAGTCAAAAAGTCAAAAAATTACTAAAATAGCTTTTCCCAAACGAGGCCTTAGTCTCAAGAGGAAGGTCATAAGTTCAATTCTCTTAAAGGAGTTAAATAAGGTGACACGCACTTGGTGTTTAGCAAAAGTGAGGAGGCTAATTTCTATATGTACTAATCTAACAATTAACAATTGACTTTCATCGATAAAAAAAACAAAAAAACTCTATTACTATGGCTCTTAATATCAATTAAAACTGTCACTAACACATAATTTTGATAAATAACTCCATAAGAAAATCTTCGAAGAATAGTACCATCTTTTAAACTTAAGTATGAAATGGGATATATTCAATCTAAATTTTGTCCATTTAAAACTTTTTGGACAACTTTTTTCCATAGCATTGCTGGCTGAGTCATATTATTCCACACTGCCTTGCGGTCCTCACCTGCACCATTGGGTTCCCATTTAGACTTCTGTGTGGAGTCTCAAACCCATCAAGGAATTTTTGGGTGTCGGGAGGGTAAATGCCACGTGGTACCATTCTTTATTGTGATTGAATTTGACATAAAATCTATTATATTTATGTTTGAGAAAAGATAGGGATCATGAAAAAACTTTCATGAAACTGATCATGAAAAATTTATGACCCTTGGATTACCTTGATTAGTGTGTGGTGCTTTATTTTAAGTGTAATCCAAAGGTCATAAATTTTTCATGATCATTTTTATGAAAGTTTTTTCATGATACCTAACATTGCTCTTTATGTTTAGTGTTTGGGAGATAGTAAGAGACATACGCATTTATGATTGGCGGAAGGTACCACCTGATAGTGCCACTGGGTATTCTCCCAGCATACAAAAATTTCTCAACCAGCAGTGCAGTTAGAATCACATAGTTCTTCTTCTTCTTCTTCTTTTTGGTGATTGAATGCATTATCCAACTTCTGATCATTCTGTTACAATGGTCCATCCGTGGTCATGGTAATGTTGCAGCTATGGCAGCTGGAGACACTTTTGCTACAGAAAGACACATATCTAAACTACAGTCAAGCACTCAGCTACACAAGCCAAGCCTTGAGCCAGAACCTGCATGGACTCAGAAAGAGAAGCCCATTAAGAACAATGAGCACAAATTTTGTCTACTTCTTGCAAGAGAATTGGAGGAGAATTTGGGTTCTCTGTTTGTGGATCATGATAATGATTGGTCTGTTCACATGGAAGTTCTTTCAGTACAAACAGAAGGCAGCATTCCAAGTCATGGGTTACTGCCTCCTCACCGCTAAAGGCGCAGCCGAGACCCTGAAATTCAACATGGCTCTTATCTTATTGCCTGTGTGCAGGAACACCATTACTTGGCTGAGGAACACCAAGTTGGGCTATTTTGTACCCTTTGATGACAACATCAACTTTCACAAGGTAGACCCCTCAAGCGCCTCCTTGTTTCTTTCTTGGGAAATTGCTTTTAAGTGATGCAGTGAAAATATAATTTTATTTTGAAGGAGATTTTCTATGATACAAAATCTAGATTGGAGGGGGCTATTTGGTGCAGTGAGATCTATCATAGGTTCTGTTTTGATGATTTGAACCGTTCATTTTGTTGAACACTTTGTATATTTCGTTCATAAAAAAAATTAAATCAATCCGATAAATATAACTTATTCAATTTACCGTATTTTTTACGAAAAAAATAAATATTAATTGTATTTTGAAAAAATAAAACATACATTTTTTTTTATGACAAAAATAATAAGTTGAATAAGTTGTAATTATCATATCAACTTAATTTTTTTGTAAATAAAATGCATGAAATGTTCGGCAAAATAAACGATTTAAATCATTAAAACGGGATTCGTGGTGGGTTTCAGAGGCCCAAATAGTCCTCTCCAACCCAGATTTTAGACTGAAAGTAATCCCTCCTCCTTTATTTTTATGGTGATATAAATTTTGTGTATGCATAGTACAAGCTCATCCTACATCAAGATTGTATCACAAATTTTTTTTATTTATAATACAATATTACTGTTTTTAGCGCCCCACTAATTTGCAATTTTCACTTCTGTCTTCATCATGGCTTGCTTCACACTTTTATCTATGGGTTCCCACTTAGATGACTTCCTCTAATTGAAAAGTCAACTATCAGTCGATCTCAATGGGTCAAATAAAAAAAGCGCGTCCTTGTACAGGTTACATGTGAACGCAGTAAAGATTGATTACTTATTTCTTGGTAAAGCAGAAACTAGACTTTTGTCATTAAGACGGATTTTAGATTCTTATACCTGAAATTAGCACCGGTACTTTTACATAATTATTAAAAATTAATACTCCCTTCGTCTCAAAATAATGGTCCCTTTTGGGGAATCCAACTTTTTTTGGTAGTACAATTATTGCATTTGAAAAAAATTGATTTTCCAAAATTATCCTTTTGATAGTACATTTTTTAGGAATATCAATGTAATAATTGTACTTTTTATATTGTTTATTAATTTAAAAGAAGGGCAAAAGAGGAAATTTATATTATTTTTGTACTTGATTTTTGAAGAGGGACTAATATTTTGGGACAATGAAAAATGGAATAAGAGACTAATATTTTGGGACGGAGGGAGTAAAAAAATTTAAAATTTAAAATATTAATATTTACAAATTTTGTCACTAATTTTTAACTATTTTTTAATATATTCGGTCATTTATAAAAAAAAAATTAAAAATTTAATCATCATAATATTACTTTTTTTTTATAATATCATTTTATGATTTTTCTTTGTGTAACTAAGAACATAGTAAAAGAGAAGAAGAAAAACGATGAAATACAAATTTCTTTTATGGACCTAAGGAATCAGAAACTTTAGGAAAAGTTGAAACAATCTTAAGTTCCAAAAAAAAAAAAAAAACAAAAAAGAAGCCAACATGCCCAGAAAGAGATCATGAATCTTTTTAGTTTGAGAGAATCACAACATTGATAGGTTGATAACCAAACAAGAAGTGGTTTTTCCACAATGGAATTAAAATTACAACATTGATAGGTTGATAAAAATGACTGATTGAATTGCAGCAGTAAATATCCTCTGTGTTAAATCTTGTTGTCTCACTTCTAGTTTCATGCTTTTCAAAATGCTCTTAATTTTGTAATTTCCATCTAGTTAATTTCTTAATTTTTTTTCTGATCTTTACATTCCCCTTTTGGTAATCTACCACCTGTGTAGACAATCGCAGCAGGCATAGTAGTCGGTGTCATACTCCATGCTGGGAACCACTTGGCGTGTGATTTCCCGAGGCTTATCAATGAGCCTGAAAAAAATTATGAGACGTATTTGAACGATGATTTCGGCAAACACAAACCCAAGTACATCACCCTGATTGAAGGTGTTGAGGGTGTGACTGGAATTCTAATGGTGATCTTCATGACCATTGCTTTCACACTCGCCACACGGTGGTTCAGGCGCAGCCTTATTAAGCTGCCCAAGCCCTTTGACAGGCTCACAGGCTTCAATGCATTCTGGTATTCGCACCACCTTTTTGTCATTGTCTACATCTTGCTCATCATCCATGGCATGTATCTGTATCTCGTGCACAAATGGTACCTCAAGACGGTATAATTTTGAAATCCTTTTTTTTCCCCTTCATTTTTTGTTTTTTAAAGTACCTCGAGTTGTAGGAATGTTGACATTTTTTCTGCTTGCAGACATGGATGTTCCTTGCTGTTCCTATTCTTCTGTATGCAGGGGAAAGGACCCTGAGATACTTCCGATCTGGCTTCTATCCTGTCCGGCTTCTAAAGGTTTGCATAAAATACCTACCACTAATTCCATATAATTCAAATGCTTGGTGTGCATGAGACCATTGCGTGCCTTGCATATGGTTTTCCCATGTCAAGTTATTGTCCTCTTATTGTTTGTTGACTTAGGAGCTATATTTCTTCATTGTTAAACTCTCAGGTTGCTATATATCCCGGAAACGTTTTAACATTGCAAATGTCCAAGCCTCCCCAGTTTCGGTACAAGAGTGGACAGTATATGTTCGTCCAGTGCCCTGCTGTTTCTCCATTTGAGTGGTAAATCACTACTTACTACTCATACCCTCATCAAGTCACACAAATTTTAAATTTAGGAGAAACGTTCGTCATCTCCTTATTTGAAGTATGTAAAGGTGCTAATGAACTCATGTTACATTGGTATGTCAAACCCTTTATTTTCTTTATGCTAATAATACAACTTTTTTTGGTCAGTAATGATTATACAATTAATAGAAGACAAAGATAGGAGAAATATACCATGTAGTATTCAATTTGGTCCCTACAATAGTCGGGAGCAATTCTTCTGCTAGACTTATGTTCATTTCAATAGTCTTTAGGGCAGATTAGTAAGGCTATTTGTATCTTAAATTTGGGGAGAGATTGGGTTGGGGGGGGAACAAGAAATAAGAAGAGACTTGCTCGTATTATTTCTTTCTTCTCTTGTTTAATGCCAATGTCCAATAATTTTACTCAGGCATCCATTTTCCATAACCTCAGCCCCTAGTGATGACTATCTTAGCATTCACATCCGCCAACTAGGTGACTGGACACGAGAGCTTAAAAGGGTATTCTCAGAGGCATGTGAACCTCCGGTTGGTGGGAAGAGTGGGCTACTCAGAGCTGATGAAACAACAAAAAATAGGTATATTTAATTTCTGAGTTCATTTGGTTTCTCATATTTTTTTTTCCCCTTTTGCTTACTGTTTCAGATGTTCAAATAAATTGGTATCTGAATTTTTGCCCTGGATAACAGTTTGCCAAAGCTCTTGATAGACGGGCCTTATGGAGCGCCAGCACAAGATTATCAAAAATATGATGTCCTGCTACTTGTTGGTCTTGGGATTGGAGCAACACCTTTTATCAGTATATTAAAAGACTTGCTCATCAACATTGTCAAAATGGAGGAGCAGGCTGTAAGTAACTTAAACCTCACAACTTCCATTAAAGAACTTCAATTACCTCTATGTATTCAAAACTTGCCAACATGGTCGGTTTGACTGCTATAAATTTTCAAAACGTATCACTTGACTCTCGATACTGCTACAATGCAATTGATGCTACCAAGGTTCTGAAAAACGGTTGCGGTCGCCGTAACGGTGGTGGTGACGCAGTTGCGGTTGCGGGGTGTAAAGGCCGTAGTATAACGGTTGCAGTAATCGGAACCGTAAATTTTTTATTTTTCCCACAATTTGAAAAAAAACTTACCAATACACATTTTTTTTTTCTATAATCATATTTATTGGGTTAAAAATAAATATTGATCAATTTTTGTAAATTTTTAAGTATGATCCAATATATTTCATATTTTTAAATCACTATAAACTGAGTTTTTTACATTTTATTTTAATAATTAATGAGTTTATATTATACAAAAAATCAATCACTAACTATTATATATAAGATAAACAATGACAAAAGTAAGAGAATAAATAAGAGCTTAAATATATATATATATATATACATATTTTAACCAAGCCAAATAGATAATGATCACGCCTATTATTATTATTATTATTATTTTCAAACAATATGTAGATAAACACACACAAATAAAATAGTTTAGTGATAGCAGCTGAATAGAATAGCATAGGTTTTACAGTTTCAGCAAATCAATAACATGTTCTTCATCTTCCCTCTTCTCTCTCTCTATCTCTTGTTCCTCCATTTTTTCTCTTTATCTTCCCTCTTCTCTCTATCCCTCTTCCTCTATTTTCAGTTTTTTTTGTATGTTTTTTCGAAAGAAACAGTTTAGAACCGTTACGTAACGGTGCGTAACAAGCCGTTACGGCTGTTACGGCACCGTTACGACTGCTACGGTAGCCGCTACAGCCGACACACTTATAAATTTCAATCACATTGCAAAAGCGGCCGTAACGGGTAGCGGTAACTGCCAAAACCGTTACGTAACGGTTGCGGCCGCTTTTTAAAACCTTGGATGCTACTATTTAAAGCCTTGCATATGATATTACATATCAAATCTTCAACCATGATTTCTTACTTTCCAGGAATCAGTCTCAGACTTCAGCAGAGTCTCAGATCAAAGTATTGGGGCTACTGATGATTCTTCCTCTGTCAGTAAGGGGAATCCAAAACGAAAGAAAACTTTAAAGACGACAAATGCTTACTTCTACTGGGTAACTAGGGAGCAAGGCTCATTTGATTGGTTCAAAGGTGTCATGAATGAAGTTGCTGAACTCGATCAAAGGGTAACAATAACATGAAATGTGTTGAGCACCTCCCATTTGCAATTCAATGTTTTATAAGTTTATTTATTGTTATAGTTTTAAATTTTCGATTTCAGGGTGTCATTGAGATGCATAATTACTTGACCAGTGTTTATGAAGAAGGAGATGCTAGATCAGCCCTCATCACCATGGTCCAAGCACTTAATCATGCTAAGAATGGGGTTGATATTGTATCCGGCACTAGGGTAAGATTGATCTCTTTCTGTCCTCTCTATTGTCTTCTTATACAACACCTCCTAAGGTCATTTACATATTGGATGTTTACATCCTATGATTTGGTTGGTATGCTACCCTCTAGATGGCAAGGTATCCTCTGTCTCAACAAATTTCTGTTTTCCTATTCTAATTTACTCATAGTAGTTAAATCATATAAAAAAATTTTGTCATGAAAATCTTGGAACATGACTAAATGACTGAGTCAATTGAGACAAAGGAACCACAAAATATAGAATGCAAATGGTTTGTTTATGCATGATATTTGTTTCTGAAAATGGATACAAGGGGTGATTAGAAGTGCATTAAATATATAATTTGATGTCATAAAATTTTAAAATATGAAAATTTTAAGCCATAATCATGTAATTAGAAGTACATTAAATATATAATTTGAAATTTTGAACATAGAAAATTCTCGTATTCTAATTTAAAGAATAAATACATTTGGGTTGGGACCATAGTTTAGGTTAGTGGAATGTCTTGTCAATGACTAATGATGATCCCAAGCTTGCTTGTTTTGTATGTTCAGGTGAGAACCCATTTTGCAAGGCCGAATTGGAAAAAGGTTCTTTCAAAAATATGTACCAAACACGCCAATGCAAGAATAGGTGAGTCAACATTTATGAGAGTTGCAAAAGCATTTTTAATGCAACTTTTGTCTCTTTTCTAATGTATCATTATTGTGGTTTTGGTACTATGGTGTAGGAGTTTTCTACTGTGGGGCACCAGTCTTGGCTAAAGAACTCAACAACCTCTGTCATGAGTACAATCAAAAGGGTTCCACCAAGTTCGAATTTCACAAGGAGCATTTCTAAAAAAAACTATGGTCAGTGCTTATTGACCATTATTTAGTACTCTCCCATTCCCACCAAGTCACACCCATCTCTAAATAAGAGGAAAAAAGAGGTTGCAGTAAAGCTTTGTACATTCATAATAGAAAATAATAAGTCTATCGCACAGAATTAAATTACATATCAAGAATATATATGTCAGTATGGTAAAATTCGAACTGATGTATACTTTCTTGATATTTTTGAGTAATTTAATTCTTATTCTTAAAAGAGGAGTAGATAAAGTATGTATACAACATATATTTTTTTCACCATACTATTGGATGGTGAGATTGGGTTATAGTAGTCATACACATGGCAACCATCCAAAGGTGGTAGAACAAGTGGTAAGCTGACTCAACCTGGAAGAGGATCAGAGTGGGATACAGCTAAAAAAAGAGGTTTGACTTTGGACACGGTGGACAAAGACAGTTTTGATGTATCCCACGTGCTTGTGGGGCTATGGAGGTGTAGGTGGAGGTGGCCCACGGCGGAGTAGGACAGGTTTTGTTTGGTTGTTTGTTGGACTTCTTCTTCAAATTTTCATGAAGTTGGACCAGAGAATCCTTCTAGAAAAAGGGGCCACGTCGACGTGGAGTCATCTTCATTTTCTTTTATGCTTATATCAAATATCATTTTAGACTGTGTGTAAAATGAAGTTTTTCATGTTGTTTTTGATTTGCGAATTTGAAAAATGATTTGAAAAGATAAAAGATAAAAATGTGTAAAAAATAAATGAAATGTAGTTATAATTCATTTATATTTTACTTATTTTTTTTTTCTTTTCAAATCATTTCTAAATTTATAAATCAAACATAGTTGTAATGTCATCCTTTCAAATTAGTGTATTTTTTATTTTTTGAAGTGTAAAGATAGATTGCCAAATATTATGTGTAGAATGGTGTGATAAATTATGATTTTTTATTTAAAAGTATAATGCTCATGATTATAATTTGTAAATATGCTACTGTTATTACATAATTCTAGTAGTAAATTGTGTATGAAATTATGATATTTTTAGGATTTTCTAATAATGGTAACTGGTTGGGACCTTGGCTGTGATGATCTATGCTTAGAATTCTAAATTTCTAATATCATGCAAGCCGAAAAATAATTATGATTTCAATGAGCTATATTTGATATGGAAAACATGAATTTCAGTGGAATTTAAAAAATGTATATTTATACATTAATAATAAATTGCACAACATTAAAAGTCAATTTTATAAACTTTTTCATGTATTTAAAATTATTTTTTAAACTTTTCACTGATTTGTTATTTCTCCTATTTGGTAAATCTGTATAAAGTTACATGGTCTTAAAATGAGTATTCCAGTAAATTTAATTGTTTTGGGTTCAATTTCTGATCATATTATACTTCTCAGTCATGATTGATACTCGTGATTTGAGATCGACTAATTTTTCAGTTTATATTTATTTTAATTGCAACTGTAAGACTAGAAATGATATGGGTAACCAAAAAAACCTAAACACCTGCTCCAAAATAAGCGGAATTATTCACCTTGCTTAGTTTTCAGTTTTTCAAAATACTTTTTAGAAAATTCTACTTTTTTATTTTTCGTGTTTTTTTATTTTTACTGAATTTTTTTAATATTTTAAGTAATTTTTTTACTTTTTAGACACACCTAACATAAATACACCTAAAAAGTAAAAAAAATCTTTTAAAAATTCACTAAATACCAAAAATACAAAAAAAATACTAGAATTTAGTATATTTTTATGTATTTATTAATTTTTTAAAATATTTTTTCACAATTTTTTTACTTTTTAGATACATATAAGTAAGGTGCATTTAAAAAAATAAAAAAAAAATGTTTAAAATTTAAAAAATATTCACTAAAAATAAAAAAACACAAAAATAAAAAAAGTCAATTTTCAAAAAATTTAATTCAAAAAACTCAAACTAAACACAGTGATTAATTTTTGAATGTCTAATCGCCATTACTATGTTTTGAGTTGTCATACCTTTTAATAAGCTAAAAAGTTTCACAATATTTTGCCTAGGAAAATGTTTAAGAGCCACAATTTTTGTGGTTAAAATGGCTTAAAATTGTCAAAACGACGTCATTTTAACAATTTTAAAGTTATTTTGTACTCAAAACAACGTCGTTTTAACAATTTCAAGGTATTTGAGCTACAAAAATTGTGACCCTCAATCATTACTGTTTTGCCTATAATTTTCCTTAACCCGGATGACAATGTGGATGGGACATATTTTCCAATCAAGAAAGAGCAATGCAAGGCACATAAAATTTATAAAAAATTATCAAAAACATTTATTACGGTGCCATTTGGTAACACTTATATTTTTAATTTTTTATTTACATTTACAAAAATTTTAAAAAATCAAATAAAAACTTGTTTGGTAAATTTTTGATTTATAAATCAGTAGTCACAGTTTATAAATTTGGCCAAAAAATGTAAACTCAAAAAATGTGTTTTCGTTTTGAGTTTTGAGTTTTTTTTTTTTTTTTACCATACTAGCCCCCCCCCGCCACCATTTTCTACCACCGTCTTCCGCCACCACCACCGCCGCCACCACCACTACCACTACCCACCACCCACCACCCACCTGCCATCCA